AGACCTTATCCTGACTGTATAAGTTATTTCTTCCCGCCTTCCTAGCATGCCTTCGTGGTGTAGTGGTTCTGTTCGCTGGGCTGGTATTCCAGAGGTCCGTGGTTCGATTCGCGGTGAAGGCGGTTGCTAATTTTTCATCTCTCTGGCTTTTCCAATTAAACTAATGTCTCTACAGTGGGGTCCGAACTAAAAGGGTTGTGAATAATGACTCTCCACACCCAGAATTTGGCGATTGGGTCCCCTAAAAACCCCAGTCGCCCTTTGAAAAGGGGAGTATATAAGGTATTTCTCCTACATTCCTAGCGTGCCTTCGTGGTGTAGTGGTTCTGCACGCTGAGCCGGTATTCCAGACGTCCGTGGTCCGATTCCCGGCGAAGACGTTGCTAATTTTTCCTCTCTCCGGCCTCAAAATACCCTAATGTCTCTACAACTGAAATTTAAATGCATAATTTATGAATATGTCACCTATAGGGCTAATGGGGTAGATTTAAAGGTTAAATAACGTTATTTGAATATGACAAAGCAAAAGAGGGCTATCTGCGAAAAACGAGGGATGCCTTCGTGCAGCAGATTTTAAAGAAAACTGTCTCGTATTCACGTTTACGAATTGCGAAAAAATTACGATAAACACACGTACAGGCAACCCATTCGTCTAGGTGAGATTCGGGATTAGATCTACCAATATTCTGTAGTCTTGATTGCTCGTACATTAATAGAACACAGTACATTTAAAAGAACAGCCAGGTCGTGCATTGCTTTGGTGAAGGAATGAAAACTTTTTACAACGAATGAGAAAATATGATAAAATACTGCAATTCCAAATGAAATATATAAATAGATTATTGTATGGTACTTTTGAATAAATTTTAAAATTCACCATTTTTTTTAATTTTTAAAGTTTTTTTTTTTATACAGACATATATATATATATATATTAGGTATTGGGATTTTGAAAGTACCTATAATGAAACTTATAGCTGAAGCGCGATATCACTACAAAATTTTCTGTTTTGTAAAAACTTGAAAATGCAGGCTTGAAAGATGCTAAAGACATTTTTTTACTATTTTAATAATATATTCATTTTAATTGACTGTTTCACACATTATTATTTTATCCTTCATAGGCTAATATCTAGTACAATTAGAAATAAGCCTTACATAATGCCGTTAACATACAAGCGAATGCCAAACAAGGAAGGAATATGCAGCTCTGACGCGTGCGCAAACGGCCACCCTACCCATTCTCTGCAATGGTGAAAAACCAATTTATAAGTCCTCTCGTTGATGATGAGAGCAGGAGAAGATATTTTTAGGCCTTGCAGTGAGTTAAAACATGATACTCTTATGAGAATAGTTCGAATGAAAAATTTACTTCTGTTTGCAGTAGCATTAATTGATATTGATTGAATGTCTTCCACCCTTGTCGCTATAGTTCATCATCAGTAATCAAAACTTGGAAGGCTATTTAAATATTTTTCGCTAGTAGATGCTTCGCACTTGAAAGGTCAAAGTAATACCACTCAGAGTAATTGACAGGTACATCTATGCATATTCAAGAACGCGCTATCACAATAACGAAGAAATAGTTCCGAGCTTAGGAACTCATTAAGCATAAGAATTATTATAGAAATCTTTTCTATATAAAGAATATTTGTCATAAAAATACCTTTTAAAAGTTATACATAATTATAAAACTCCAAATGAGAAATTAGCAAACAGGTAAATTATGTAACCGTTTTTAAACATCTGAATTTTCAAAATGAGCTTATGTCTATAAATTAAAGAATTATCACATTAGTTACAGACGTTTAAGAATAATACGAATTAGTCCATAAAACTATGAATAATTTATCAATTATTATGGTAATATATCTGCTTCCAATAGAAATATTCTCACCTTTAAATATTTATGAGCGATGAATGACTAAGAAGTTTCTACGTCCAATAATGTAATCAAAAAAAATAATTAATTTCATAAATTCCAGCATATTATCCCAAATATAAAAAGTAAATTTCTCGAAAGAGCCTTATAATCAAATGATCTCAAACTTAATGTTCTTATAACTAAATTATTTTTTAAGAAAACCGCATTTACATACTGTTAGAGCTTTAGCTGAAGCGCGATGTTTCCTCCCTGAAGATAAAGAAACTAAATCGGAATCCTCAGATTTGATAGCCTCTCAACAAATATAACCTCCAAAGACAAAGTTGAAGATAGAAGAAAGTTTTCGAATAAGAATGGGTGTTTCAGCTCATTTTTTTAGAAAATGAACACTATATTTGAATATGGGACCGTGAAGAAATAATTGACAAGATTATTCATTAAGTGCACGCCACATGAAATAACAGAAAAAGTTGCTTTTTACGTCTTTCGTTGGAATAGTTAAGGATATATTAAAATATTATTTCCGTGCAAAATGCTGCTGAAAATTTAATCATTATAGACAAAATAGTAATAAATAATTAAGCCAATTAAAAGTGGTAAACTTACTAATAGAAAAAATAATATTTAAAATTAAAATCAAACTCGAAATGAAACATAACAAAATAAATAACATATAATGGTTGAAAATTCCTTAGTGTTTTCAAGGGACAGCCAAAAATCTTTCAGCGGAACCATATTTCTAAATTATATCCGAATGATTACCAAAATAAAACAGCAATATAATAAAATAACGAATTTAAAGTAAACAACATTAAAATAGCAATATGAATATTTTAATTATTTTTAAATGATTAATCATCAAAATATAATCTGCTCCGAAGTAATTTAAAGAAAATTATACGAAATAAATCAATATAAGATCAGAAAGAAAGTCAAATTTATTTTTAGAAATTACTAATTTGAAGATCGTTATAGTAAATTCTTCAGCCATCAATAAATGTGGAATCAGCGAAACTTACAAAAGGTAAAAATTCTCCACCTCAAATTGAAAATTTAAATTTAAAAGAATTTTTTTAATTTTGGAATTTTATGATAACAAACAGCTGAATCAAAAATCAAAGAAAGAGAGTTGTGAAACATTTTTATATAATATGGAAATGGTGCAAAAAAGTAATTTAGTCTTTAGTCAAAACTGCTGGAAATGAATTATCAAAAAACAATTTGCCAGGTATCTTACTTAAAACGTATAGCAAATATGTAACCTGCAATGTCAGATTGGTAAGATAATAATAAGTAATATTAATTTGTTGGATTTCTAATCTGTAGATTGTATATATATTTATATAAACACAAAAGAAAGTTTAAAAAAATTCAAAAAGTATTCTTAAAATTAAGTTTATAAAAAAAGTAAATAAACGGATTTGCGCTTAACCAGAGCTTAGTTCCAATTTTTTTCTTTTCATTCTAATAATTATATATATATATATATATATATATATACTTTCATTCTGAAGAAAAATTATCGGAAAGTTTTTTTTTTTTTTTTTTTTTTTTTTTTTTGTTGTCCCCTTTCTTTTGCCTTGTTACATTTTAAAGGTGGTGAAAATATAAAGAAATGGTTAGGGCTTTTTTAGAAAAGTGTTCTTCATTTCACAAAAACAAAGCATCTCGTTGGTTCTCTGCCTGAAAAAACGAATTATTATTATTAAGAAATTATTATATTATTAAATATGATTAAGAAATTATCTCATATTAATGTTACATTTGAAATAAACGACAAAAACGCTCATACAGCCAGCCTATTCGCCGGGATTTAGACCTGGGTCGAAAACCACTGAGCAGAAATGCTATTCATTTGGCCTTTTAGAACTGAAAATTCTCTTAAATTTTAGCTCATTTAGGAACAAAATTTAATATTTAAATTCATCTGCAATACGAAAGATCAAAATTTCAATTTAATACAGAATAAAATGTTAACAAAATGGATTGCCATGAAACATATTTTATTAAACAAATAATTTTCAAGTGAATGACAACTAACTCAATATTGTTTTTTTTATTTTGAGTTAGAAGTTTCCCTTGCTTAATAATTATCAACAGGACATTTATTTAGGCATTGGTGTTGTAGACACATTAGGTTATTTTAAGCAGGAGCCTTGAAAAATGTATAATGCCCTCGCCGGGACTCGAACCCTGGACCTCTCGAAAACGCGCCGAGTTTGCTAACCGTCACACCACAAAGACATACTGAAAGGAGGGAGAAAATACCTTATAGATAATGGAACATTTTTCAATTAGCATTCGATTTCAAAATATCTTTCATTAGTTATATTTTTTGTATTTTCAGAAATGACACTAAATACTGACCAGATACATAAAGTGTAAAATTTAATGTATGTCAAATCGAGTTCATTGCTTTAAATATTCATATAAAAGAAAATATTCACATTTGTAGTTCTCTCGAGGTTATTTCCTTTATAAATTTAACGTCATTCAGTCTGAAAATAAGCAAATTAATGACAATCCTGAATCAACCAGGATTCCTTTTTCAGAAACAAAATTGCACTATTGTGACAATTTGCGTATTTGCTATCACTTCTGACGTATCCACGTAGCTCATTCCCTCCAGGTAGGTATGCAGATTTTTCAGACGAGTGTAGAGGCATAAGTATTTGGTTGTACGAAAAGTCATGAGACATTTTTTCTATGTGCTTCAAAGGTCCTTTATTTACGTAAAAATCAATGATCAGTCAATAATAGTATGTTCCCTATTTTGTTTGGTAATATTTTTCTTCTTCAAATGAGCATCGGAATTACTCAGTCACAAAAGAACCTAGCTTTGTCGGCGAAAAGCTGAACAAGAATTTGAGTTACGGCCTCGTTTAAATTGAATTTTACACTACGAAAGACATTTTGAAGATAACGAGACAGGTGGCACAAGATCAGGAGAGCATGATACGCGTGGCTGTACTTTTCATTCAAACTCCAATAACTTTTGCCAGCGATCAAATTTGTGTGGGGTCTTGTTTCCAAGCTTCTACCAAAGAGCCAGTAAATCAGTTCAAATGTAAGCTTTTATCAACTGTATAAGGTATTTCTCCCGCCTTCTTAGCATGCCTTCGTAGTGTAGTGGTCAACACGCTCGGCGCTTATTCGAGAGGCCCGTGGTTCGAATCCCGGCGAAGGCGTTTCTCATTTTTCATCTTTCCTGCTTCGAAATATCCTAATGACTCTACATCTGGAGAGTTTCAAATAATCCATCTTCAGGAAACTTCCGGCGTTCATTAATCGTATAAAGACTGCATTCTATCCCAATATCGTGAGACCACACACAAGTATGATCGCCTGACAAAAATTATTGGAGTTTGGTTAAAAATTGTTGCCATGCTTATCATACTCGCCTGATCTTGTACTCTCACGCTTTCTCTTGTTCTGCTCTCTTCAAAATTTCTTAGTATAACATTCAATTCAGATGAAACTGTAAGTCAACACTCTATTCAGCTTTTCGTTGATACAGCTAAGTTCTTTTGTGAATGAGGAATTACGAATCTCATTAAAATAATGTGAAATTTTATCAAACAAAACGGGCAATATACTATTGACTGATCATTGTTCCTTATTTAAATTAAAGTCTGTTAAGAACAAAGAAAAACTGTATCATGACTTTTCAGACAACCTCAACTGGAAGCTAGAAGTTGTCAGCTGCATGAAATATGATATCATGCTATCTGATGTCATGCTATATCTGATGTCATGCATGATCTGAAGAACGTCAGCCGAGTCTGAACGTAAGGTATATGACGGAGCAAGCTGATGAATGGAGCCTCTACAAAGCAATAGCTGCTGATTATTAATGTTTAATCATAGCCGGAGTAGATGATCTTGGAGAAATGCTATCGAATTCGGTAAACTAAAGGTTAAAAGTTTAGCGCGGTAAAAATGTGCTAAAATTAGATTACAGTTCCTCTTATAGTAATACTGAAGGTGAACCTTAGCATAATCAAATGGGCTGTTATCTGTATTACTAATTCTCAACTGGAAATTCATTATAAATGTAACTTTAATATTATTGAGTTTTTGTCTATATAGAAGCATCACTTTCATCTAGATAACTCTATAAAGGAAACTGGTGGCACCCGATAATTAAAATCCATAGAGCTAGTTGCAGTGATTAGTATAACCAAACACTCTCAAAACTAACAACCAAAATCCCATACTATAAAAATTTCAAAAATATTGAAGAATCTTCCTTTTTCAATAAAAGAACTAACAAATTTATGTTTAAATTAATGGCATTCAAATTTTAATTTGTACTAAGGTAATATGACAAATAAGGAAGACCTATTTATCAGATAGGTGAGTAATTACATTCATGAGATAAATGCCAATGAATAATGTCATGAAAATTTACTTTAACTTGATTTGCTGTAGATAATAATATGTGTAATGATAACAATTACTAAGAACACAAGAATTTCAGGCTACATAGCGTTTGCTCTAGCAAAGCTACCTATAGTCGGGGATTTGTTAGCTATTTAAAATTCGTGTTTCCAGTTTAAAAGGGGAATCAAACTAGACAGTCCTCGAGACTACCACAATATTTATCATATGATATATTTTAGGAAAACTGTACTTCTCTGTAAATTTTGTACGAGTCCCATATAAAAATGTATTAAGATAATAAGTTTTTTCATGATAATTTGTTAAGCAAAATTATCATCGTACAATTATACTGACCTAATATATCATTTGCTCTATGACATTAATTCAAATTTTCGAAAACTATCTAAAGATATTGCTAAACAGATTAAGTTTGAGATTGCATATTTCCAAACGATGACTTCTAGATTAAAAAATATCGATTTAAGAACATTATTCCCAAATTTCATCAAAGAAATAATAAAAACTGAAATTGTTAATCTAAATGAAATTACGTTTTGATACGATCCCTAAATTTTGCCTTTCTTCAGTGGATGGAAAAGAAAGTAAATTTAATTATGTAGTTTGCACAACTTTTCACCACAAATTCGGCATATTATGGACATCTTCCCCATAAACACACATTTCTTCTTCCCTCTGTCTCTCTGTCTCTCTCTCTATATATATTTCTAAAAGGTATTTATTAGGTTAAAGAGCGTCTTATTAGTGGCGCGTTTCTTCGTTGATAAACCACAGGAAAACTCAAACTTCATTTACTTCATAAAAGGTATTGAAGACTAAAGTTATGCTGTCTAATAAATCTAAAAGCTTTCATTATTTGATACATTTCTTAAACTGGAACCGTAGACCTTCATTGATAGAGATATTCAGTAGATCAATCTAGATTAAATTCACATTCGACATTCTTGACTTCTCTAACTGAAATTTTAGTTGGAATCTGTCTGGAAATGTAGCTGAAATTTTATGCTGTTTATTTTTAATTCGAACTGAAAATTTAGCAAACTTTCTTTCAGTTAGTTTTAAAACTATTTTCTTTGTGTAGCTTTGGTTCATTTAGATAGCTAGTTAAAATTTCATTTTAATTTAAAGATGATGCATCCTAGTTACAGGAACACATTGCTGCAGCTTCGGTACTACGGTTACGTTAAACATAAGAAATTTTACCATTATTACCTTTCACCAATCTATATACATTTAGTTGTATATGTAATTAGTAAGAGAAGTAATGTTTTCGGTTCAAAAATTCAGTAGTGAGTTTTCAGTGAATAAACATGAATTACGGTCCCCGCAACACGTTTTCACTATTTTTACAACTATATTTGTCTTTCTCTGTGTCTCTGTGTCTGTACGTGTGTGAGGATTATTTCGTCCACGATAACTCTTATACGAAATTTCCAAAAATTTCTGTTTTTCGTATGTAAGTTTTCTACTTTCATACAAAGAGTTGATTACATTTTGAGAAAACTGGGAAACCAAAAGTGGTATTTTACACGAAGCCCATAATTGGCTTTAGTGAACAAGCGGAAACGATACCTTACCTGAAGCTCACAGAGGTTTTTTTTTTATTAAAAATTATATTAAAATATAATCCAAAGCTTTTCAGTTCAGTTTTAGTATACAGACCTTTACATCAACAGCCACAACATATTAGATTTTAGCTGAAAATGATAAACCTGAAGTTATATTTTACTCGAAGCTCAAAATAGATTTTCGTAAAAAAATATGAAACGAGATAATCCAAAACTTCTCACATTTGATATTTAAAACAGATACGCAATTGAGAAAAACATATTACATTTATCAGCATTAAATGAATTCTTGTAATTATGCTAAATACAAATAGAATAAGCTCTTATGAAGACTAGCTCTCGTTATGAAACAAATGTATTAGTCTCAATCCTCAGTTTAGAGTTCGTTTCCTTTTTTTGCCGACTTACTTTTCAAATAAGAGGATGCCACCACCAAATGTTATCGCTGTGTATTATTTTTAAAGAAATTATGTAACAAATATAAATAATGTAGCGAATATAAGAAGAATACCTGGCAACAGTCAACACTCTATCTAGAAGAGAAACACGCTAATGTGACAATCAAAATCGAAAAACCAACCTTGTATTTAGCGTAAGTATAATGAAACAGTCAATCGATTTCGAGGGCAGCTAAAGGTCCCTCCTCATCAGGAGAAAGAAATACCTAGAAAGAAGAAAATAACCACGATTGACCGTGGATTTTCTCCCGTGATTATTGATAAAGCTGTTAAAAAATTTTCAGATTCCCAAAGAAGACATTCCACTGTTAGAAATAATATTAATGACCTTGTCGTGCTTCCATTTTATCCTTCTGTTAGCTATAAAATTGCACGGATTCTCCAGAAATTCAACTTTCAAGTCGGTTTCTCCCCTATTAATAAAATTCACCCTTCGATTCTAAAAGATTGCGTTTCTGTCTTGAAGTCTTGGGGAATTTATAGTATATCCTGTCAGTGTGGTTTAAGATATATTGGCCAAACAAAAAGAGCGTTGAAGTTTCGTATCAAGGAACATAATCTTATGTTAGAAAAGGTGAAATTAACAAGTCTTCAATAGCGTATCATAGTTGGACATTTAACCATAATTTTGACTTTGGGTCTGCAAAAATTATCCAAAAGGCTTCTTCCATAGGTGAATTGGATTTTCTTGAGGCTTTTCACATTCACAAAGATTTAGCAGGTTTAGTTAATGATTTGAAGTCCAATCCAGTCCTTCCTAATGCCTTTAAAATTCTACTATCTTAATTCAGTTATTTTCGCCGATAGATGGCGTTACCTCCTCGCGTTTGGTACTACCAGAGGGTATAAAAATCCGTTCAGTGGTTGCTTTCCATTATTTGAAGTTCAGATTTTGAGCGTGGAGGTGCATTTGCCCCTCGCTCCCTATTTTAACTTCTCTAATTTTTCTTGTCCTTTATGCTTGATCAGATAGCCTGGCTCAGCAAAAGTAGGCGGTCAGTGCAACTCCGATTAAAAATCCAGTTATAACCACGTGCAGTGCTGATAAGGACCACGTGTTTCTGAGACTCCTTCTCTTTATTTTCTTCTTTCTAGGTATTTCTTTCTCCTGATGAGGAGGGACCTTTAGCTGCCCTCGAAATCGATTGAATGTTTCATTATACTTACGCTAAATACAAGTTTGTTTTTACGATGTTGACTCTATTGGGAATTCTACAGCCATATTGATTTTAAAGATTTTGCGATTTTTATTGCTGAATTTTATGTGTCGTAAGTGGGAAAAGATGATATTTAATAACAAAGCTGAAATGGCAAATAAAAATTTAGTCATTTTATTAAGAAAACCGAACACTTGATACCATAAACGTACTTATGCCATAAGACAGTTGTGTCAGGAGGGCGGTGCTCTTCCAAGTTCTTACCATAAACGTACAAAAGACTGAAAAAGAAATGTAATGTAACACTTAGCATTCTATCGAGAATTCTAAATTTCTGTACCTTTTAAAAATGTTTGATTGTTAATCTGATTGACTTGGGAACCCGAAACACTATACGACCAGAGGATACGCTACGATCAATGCGATATTTTTCAAATCAAAGCATGAGAATGGATGTGTACATGAGCACGTATAATTATCATCAGCCATTATACGGGAGAATAGAGTAATAAAAAATAGGCAGTGTTTATAATTAAAAATGAATCATTAAGCTTATAGTGAATTATATTTTGTTTACAAATAATCAACCGGAAGTGATTTTTTT